TGCCCCAACCACCATGCCACCTGCTGGCTCCTATCTCATTCCATCTTAATTAAATATTCTTTGTGCCTGTGATAAGATTACTGAAATGTTACTTCTTCATCTTGTGTTGCCCTCTCTTTCCCATTCTTTCAATTGCCAGAGGGCACATACACTTGCCAGACAGAGACTGAGAGACAGATAGAGGGAGAAGCACCCCCTAGTGGGGCGTGGTCCCACCATAATCCTTCTCCTCCATTTCTCCTTCCTGTCAGGATTTCAGGCACGTGTGCACATATTCCTGGCATGTTTCTCAAGCTTCTGGGGCTAGGATTTGAACCGCTGTTGGCTGTTTAGGATCTGGCTTCCTTAACCACTGGACCATAGGTCTGGCTCTGAAGTAACTTTCTTCACTGGACACAATCAGAAACTGTGAGATTTGATAGAATCTTTGTTTTCACTCTTACATACGTATTTTTACATATAAGGATTTTACTTAGGTATATGTGTGAAAATTTGCTTTTCTGTATCTCCCAGCTCTCCACTGTGGTAGAACAAAAAGACTCGAACAGGAGTGATCTTGGTCACATACCTGGGTTGCCCAGGATGTTCCCATGCTCAGTCTCTGGAAGTGACCAAGACTTCCTCCCTATTCTTGTGGACAGCAGAGACCTACACTTAGACCCTGTGGTGCCCTGTGGGTCTGATTTTCCCCACTGATAAAGCTGCTCTCATTCTTAACCTACAGGAAGGAATAGAAGTGGGGCCTTCCTTGGAATACCCACATTTGGTGTTTGCAGCCAAACAGCCTGGCTCTAGCACATCTCTCTGAGGGGTGCTGGTGTTGGGGGAAACTTATCCTGGTGATTCTAAGTGCGCAGTTTCTTCCAATAAATCCTGTCCCATAACACCTGCCACATGGCGTTGTGAAACTCTATGTGAGGCCTGTTGCACAGCAGGTTGAGAGCATGGAGGGGCCCACTTTTCACATTCTGTTTTCATTTCTTAAGAGTCATTTGGAATCATTAAGCGTTGCAATAAGACTTGCAAATAACTGTGTATTCAGTACAGTATAATTTGCAGAATGTTTTTATACTCTATATACTATTTAAAACCTACAATCTGCTTACCAAGAATCATTTTTATTATACAAACAACAAATCTAAGTGTCAGAAAGGTTAAAAGCCTCCTCCTACAAGTGGCGAATCTGGCCCGGAAGTAATGTCTCCTGGCTTCAGGCCAAGTTCTTTCTCCCATACTCTGGAGCACTTTGAGACATGTTTCTAGAAGCAACTCCATTCATTCCAAAATATTTAAAAGATCCATGGAAGAGGCCCGTTGCCAGGTGCTAGTGAATTCAAAGACCAATAAAATATCTCCAAGAATTTTTTCTCTTGTGCTAAATAGGGAAGATCATTTTAATAGCTATTTATTATAAACATACTCATTACGCTTCTCAGTTTGCTCAACATATAGTGCCTATATTATGAGACATTAGACACACTTTATAGAAGCAAAGTGGGAATGCGGCTCAGCGGCTCATCAGCCAGGGGAAGAAGATGCCAGCAGTGACCAGGTCCCTGAGAAATGAAGTGTCGCAGCTCCACCCACAGGTCAGTAGAGGAGGAAATCTGTGAGCAAGGGATGCCTAGGTGCGCCTGCAGTGTCTCCTCATTTGTGATCTGAATTCAGATGTGTTCTCTGGAATGCTTCAGAGGCAAATAAAATCTGTGCTTCCTCCAAAATCTGTGCTTCTTACCTAGAATCCCACCAACGTGCCTCTCTCGGCTCAGACCTAGATTTAGGCTGGTGCCTCGGGCTTAACGTTTTCAAAACTGGACTAATCTTCCGTGCTCTCAGACCGTCATTCCTTAGCCTGTCACAGGGCCTCGCTTCCATTCTAGGGGCCTGATGGCGAACCTCCCCAGGCTTTTCTTTCCTCTCTCAGAAAAGAGGAAAGTCCTGCTACTTGTCAAGTTTCTCGGTATAGTTTCCTTCTCTTTGCCGTCATGTTCCCATTTTCCTCAAGCCCTCAATGTCTTCCAAGGACCCTGCCTTCCCCCTCAAGTTGCCCACCCAGGGCTGAAGTGTTGTATTCAAACTCCCAGCCCTCAGTCCCCACCCAGAGGGGAAGCTCTGACATTGTCCTGCCTCCACTGTGGCCTCCCTGTGGCTCTTCCTTTCTTTTCCACAGCACGATCCACTTCTGTTGTCCTTGCCTAGACTGAGCTTGTCTGGACTGCTCCTCTCAGATGGCTGAGCAAGGAAGTAAGCGAGAATGTGCTGGACATACTCTCACCATGCTTCCAAGCATACCTCTTTCCAAAATTCCCTGAGCCTTTTCTTGGCTCCTTCCTTCACTTCCTCAGCGAGACTTAAATGTTCTTCCACTAGTTTCTGTGGCATCCTGTGCATGGATATGTTCCACAGAGCACTGACTGTATTACATTGCCGAGTTGTGTGTCTGTGTGTGTTTTCCTTAATATCCTTCCTTCCTTTAATTCTTTCTTCCTTTCAAGTAGATCGATCATTTTAATAGAGATTTTTGCTATAGGGTGCATGCACTCACCAAAGAGACAGAGAGAGAGAAAGCAAGAAATCACCTCTTAGGAGGATGGTCATGGCACAATCCCTTCTCCTCCATTCTTCTCTTGGGATTTTGGGCACACACACACATGTGCCTGGCAGAGTTTTAAGCTGTTGGTTTGGGACTCAAACCACGATTGGCTATGTGGGAGCCTAGTGATGTAACTGTTATGCTATCTGCTGGTCCCAAGGATTGGTCATATAAAAAAAACCATTTCCTTTTTGAGTGACAGAGAGAGTGTGCATGAGAGAGAGAGAGAGAGAGAGAGAGAGAGAGAGAGCACACCAATTGAGTCTTGTTATTGTAATCCACCCAAGCCTCAGCTGGACCTGCATCACGAGCACACACATATGTGCTTGGCATATTTAAGGAGATCTCTTGACATAAACCAGGAACCTCCCATGTGGTCAAACTCACAAAGCATTGTGTTTTACCTTTGTGCTTCCATCAGTTCCTGTCTTCAACTAGTTTTTAGCTGACTGAAGATAAAAAGCACATTCTATTCATCATGGCATCCCTAGCATTTAGCACGATGTCTGGTGACAATGAATTTCACTTGGATATAGGCATCAGCTCTTCTTATTCCTGAACTCCAGCTCTCTGTCATGGACCAGCAAGGTTTGACAGCCATGACAGTGGCAGCACCCTCTAGGTTTCCTGGACAGTGACCCACGTTGAACAGTGCTCCCACTGTAGCTAGCTTGTGGCAGGCATTGTGTGCTCACAGTCAGCTTCCTGAAGGGGCAGGGAATCAATGCAGAACAGACAAATGGAGAGAGGCCTAATAGCACACAACTAGTGAAAAATGACAATAAGAACATAAGTCAGGGCAGGGATTTCTTTTTGTGCTATTCACTATTTTATACCCAGTGCCTACAGAGACCTTGACATATAAGTATTCAATCAATAGTTGCTGAATACATGATTTATTGAATGAATAAAAAATTAATTTCAAAGCATATGCCTTTGATTCCATTCCCCTGACCTTTAATCTTTCTGTTGTGTATATGTATCTGTCAAATGAGTAAAATTTTAAAATGAGTATCATGATCTTCTATTTTTAAAAACACCACAATTAAAGAATAGAGATAGCTGTTTACAAGTATTTCACAAATGCACACATACATTTCAAGTCATTGAGATATGTAGCTTCATAATTCATTTCATTCACTAAAAGAAATATAGCTTTTGGAAAATAATTAGTCATCCTACCTGAGAATCATATAACTGTGCTCTCAGGAGTAGCTTTTGGTTAATAGGTGGATGAACCACTAATTGCCCTTGTGAATGGGGTGCTACACAGAGGTGGATGGAAGCACACCGTGGCTGGTGATGTGAGGACAGGCAGGGCTCTGCTCTCGGCAGCTGTCCAAGGGCGCGCAGGGCGCACAGGGAGCCTCTCAACACTTTTGAAACTGTCGGCAGCTGGGGTGGGATGTGTGCTTCTGGAAAGAACCCTCCTTAGGTTCATGTTCTTCTACCAACACTGCCAGGGCCTTTCTTTTTTACAGAGAATGCCTGCTGACTTTGTCTTTATCTATTACGGACACAGACCCAGCCATTCACTGTGATACGGGACAACAGCCGGCAGAGGAATGTAGGAAACCCACATAGATCTTCCTTGGACTACTTTGTTTCAGAGTTACAAACAACCTGAGGTCTGAAGGAAAAGTAGACAAGCAAGCGCTTGCTGAAGACGAGAGCAAAGGAGGATTTTTTTCTTTTTCTTTTTCTTTTCTTTTCTCTCTCTCATTTTTCTGGTCCAGAGACTGAGAGCTGACCCTGAAGTAGGTGATAGCTGTTGCCAGTAAAGGAGACTTTATAGGGAGTGGTTTCACATGCATGCACCCAGGCTGTCCACCCACCACTATCCTGTCTACTGTCACACAGCCCACTGTGTAATGCAAATCTTCTACAACACGGCTCATTATTCTCCTCTCCAAATAAAATAAGAACACATCAATTATGTCTTGCTGTTTCTAAATACATACCCTTGTCACACGGACCTCTTTCTTTCTTTTTTTTTTGGAGAGGTTTTTGCTACAGGGCACGTGCGCTCGCCAGACAGACAGAGACAGAAAGCAAGAAATCACCCCCCAGGGGGGATGGTCACGCCGCAATCCCTTCTCCTCCATTCTCCTCTCGGGATCTTGGGCACGCACGCACACACGCCCAGCGTGAGTTTTAAGCCACCGGGTCCTGGACGCAAACCGTGGTCGACCACGTGGGAATCCAGCAACATAACCATTACGCTAACTGCTGGTTCCCTTTCTGCTTTCGGTATGTTCCTGGACATTTGTCAGCTGGGCTAGTTCTAAGTTTTTATAACCTATTAGCTTATGGTTGAGCACTTTCCAAACGTTATCTTCTATTTAGTTGGTCTGACCCACGGGCACTCTGGGAGAGTGAGTATGGCCATGCAGACAGCAGCACTTACCACTGCTTGTAATCCGCGTCACAGTTACAGTAGTACTTGGGGTCCGTGCAGTTGCGCTCGATGCCACAGGCACACTTCTGAATTCCAGGCCCAGAGCCACCCCAGTAGTAGTGCTTCTCATTGGCTTTGCCGACCCACCAAGTGTAAGGACTTCCGTCTGCAAGAAAGGGGGAAGGCACACTGAGAAACAGATGGGGATTCAGTAGTTACGATGCGACTCTGCTTTATACCCGCTTCCTCAGGAGTAGGGTCCACCTCTGATAGACTGAATGTCACTCAACCCTCTTAAAAGTAAATTTGTTTCAACAGTAAGAATGTCTATCAAAAAAAAACATTGGAAGGAGTGGCAAGCTCAAGTTTCCCCACCAGAATATGTGCTTCTTTCTTTGGAAGAAAGATTTACGTTAAAGCTTAATTTAGAAGTGTGGTCAGTCAACTGGAAGCCCAGATGGGTCCATGGGTGATGAAGGCATAAAGGCCATGAGTTGATTCTATTGGGTTGTTTGTAAAGTCATGAGGCATTTTCACATAGAAAAACATTGAAAAATATGTCATGAATTTCCCAATACCCTAATACAATATACAATGAGATTCATGGCTGGCTGTGCCTTTCTGAGAATTGTCAGTCAAGAATATCACAGAACATTAGAGTGAAATGTGGACTTTCACTGTATCTTAGTTTAATCTCCTAATTTTATGGGTAAGAACACTTCAATCTAGAAAGGTTAAGTCATTCTTTCAATGACACAGCAGATTAGCCCCCAAACTAGAAGCTTGACACTATCTTGCAAAACACATTACATCATGTCCTTTATATTGCATTACTTTCCATTGTTTTTTGACTTAATATTCACACATTCACTCATTTCATTATCAAATATCCACTGGATTCCTACTAGGTGCTGAATCTGATAAGAAACAGAATGATGGAAGAGGAGAAAGATACAGATTAGAATACAGTTTAAAGTTTAAAGTTCCTGAAAATCAAATGGGGCTAAATTTAAGGTTCAATGTAATGAGTAAGCAAGTACTTTTCACTTTTCAGATATTTTCCTATTCCATACAAATCTCTAGATTTTTCAGTGTGTTGACTCAATTTGCAAAAGTTATGATCTTCCCCTACCATGTTCATTTACTCAAATAAAAAAAATGTATTGGACTTGATCTAGTAAACAGTAAAGGGATTTCAACACTCTGTTCCAAAGGAAGAAAGAAGCCAGCTATCTGAGGTTCACTCTGAAGCCTTGCCCTCTTCCCACTTGTGCCTTGTCTCAGCATGTAGGCATCTGTGTTTATTTTCCACAAGTTATTTCGGTATTCCTGTCTCCTTCCATCAGGGTAAAGGGTAAAGCATCTGGGTTCTGATGCTTCCCAGTGTTGAAACTATGCCAATAATACATTCTTGTTTTCTTCAATGTAATCAAAAGTTTCAAAAAATAAGATTTAGATGTAAAATCTCAAACCATAAAACTACTACTGGTGGAAAATAGGGGGGGGAAACTCTTGAAGACATTGGGGTAGATAGAGATTTCTTTAAATAAGATCCCTAAAGCATAGGCAATTATCTCAAAAGTAGTCAAATGGTATTATATCAAGCTAAAAAGTTTTTGTACAGCCAGGAAAACAATTGGAGTGAAGAGACAACCCTTAGAATGTGAGAAAAATATTTGCAAATGATGTTTCAGATAAGGGATTGATAACCAAACACATAGGGAATTCAAGCAGCTATTACACATACACACCAACACTCACACAAACACAAACACACCCCAATAAAAACAAAAATGAACATATCAATTTAAAAAATTGGCAAATGAGCTGAATAAACAACTCTCTAAGGTAGACATCTGAATTAAATGGCCAAAATGCTTATGAAATATTCAACATCTCTTATCATAAGAAAAATGCAAATCAAATCGCCATGAGAACCATTTAACCTCAGTCAGAATTGCTAAGGTTAAAAACAAACAAACCAAAACAAAGAATGGCAAGTGCTGGCAAGGCTGTGGTAAAAAGGAAACCCTTCTACACTGTTGGTGGGACTATGAATTACTGAAACTACTGTGAAAACAATATGGAGGTTCTTCAAAAACCTACAAATAGAAGTACCATATGATCTAGTAATCCCACTCCTTGATATTTACCCAAGGGACAGGAAAACACTCAGAAAGACAACTGCATGTCACTGTTTATTGCAGCATCACTCACAATGCTAAGACATGGACTCAACCTAATTACCCAAGAACTGATGAATAGATTTAAAAAGTAATTTGACATATACACACTATGGGATACTACTCAGCCATATGGAACAATGAGACCCTATCATTTGATTCAAAGTGGATTAATATAGAAAATTTAATGCTAAATTTCACAGCACACTGTGAAAGACAAACACTGTATACCCTGTTCAATATACATTGGATGTTTTCACCCTATGGTAGAAATGGAAAGGTCTGAAGATATGATAGTAATGTCAACAAGTGTAGATATCAGAGACAGCAGGGAAGCGGGGTGGGTAGTAGAGGCTGTGTGGGAAGGGCTTAAGAAAGAAACATTTAATAGACTCAAGAATGTAAAGTTCTCTGTTGAAAAGGATGTATATGGTAACATCCCTGATTTGACTATCACATATTTTTGCAAACTTTGAAAACCCATGTAGTGTGCTATAGTAATGTGCAATGATGGAATGAAAATAAGAAATTAAAAAATCCCATTTATGGAAACTGTAAAATCTGAGTGACCTAAAGGAATGCTTAGGTCATTTGGCACATAAGTTGCATTAGGTCTCTGTTGATAGCATCTCTGGTCATGTGACAGGGAGAGCCCAAAGGTGGATGGTGCTGAGCTGACCTTGCAAAAGGTTCATGAGATCTGCCAGACCAGAATTTGACCCTGAGAATACAGCAACATTACTAGACTGGTTATCTTATAGAACATACTGCATTGCATTATTCCAAGTTGACCTGGTGGTAAATTCTTTCTCTCAAATGAAATTTTGGTGAATATCATTGTTTTGGGGACCTAGGCATTATGAACACATTTGATGGGAAAGAAGAAAAAAAACAGACACTTATAGAATTGGAGTTAATAGATTGTCTGGTAGAATATCCTGTCTGTTCCTCTAAAAGTGAATGAAAGAATATATATTTCTCAAAACCTCAGTTCAATTTCTGATTATGTCTTTCAGTGACCAAAAGACATGACCTAACTCCACTGTATTTCATTTCAGACGGTGATGGTATTTTGCACAAACCAGAGAAGACGTGTGTAGCTTAGTGTTCTTTGAAAGAATCAGAATGAAGTCAGTAGAGGGAGCAAAGTCACAATCAACCTCACCTTCAGGGTGAGGCTAGGAGAAATATGCAGCAGGGGAGATGGAGAAGAAAGCCTGCTGCTTTCCAACGCACCTTCAGGGAGTCCCCAGAAGCCCAGGAAGGGAAGTGTCAGTTTCAAGGTATTTGGGCAATGGACGCTTCAGTAGTAGCTCTAAACTATGCACGGGATCCAGTCTCTAAACTAATCTCATATGGCAGACCCTTAGTTCACTGTAGGGAGAGATACCAGAAGGGACCTGAGAACTGAAACTGACTACTTTCTTTTGTTGTAGTTTCTCCAGGAGGCCTGGAAAGAGTCATGCCAGTGAGCAGGCAGTTAATCTCACAAAAGCAGACCGCTTTGGTCCAGTGGTTGTGAGCTACTTCCTGCGTTTTGACTCTGACACAGCATCACACAATGTACAGCAAACCCTTCTTATCTCTGTTAAACTCAGACATTCATTTTTGCTGACTCTGATTCTTTTTGAAACAAAGACTTGTGCTTTTAGCCAATGACTTAAGAATTGCTAAAGCTCACCTATAACCTGTAAGCTCCTGCTTCTTTTATAAGCCAGGTCAATATGAAAACTCCATGTGTTGATTTAGTTTTGTTTGTACCTCCTGTGCTCAGCACTAAATAAAAGAGCTGCTGTATCTAAGCCCCATGGAACATTTTCTGAAGGCTACCAAAGATTGTGTTCACCGGCCATGGTCACTCATAATTTCACTATGAATAAACTTTAAAAAATATTTTTACAGATTTTGCTTATTTCTGTCAACATACCCCAAGGACGAGATTTGGTATGACATTTCCTTTTTTCATGCAAAGAGACGACATGCTAGTGATTACGGAAGAGTGGCCTATTTTCCAAGGTTCTTCTCCCATTGTCCACTTTTCCTCCAGTTGCTGTCCTTTGATCCTATACAACTAATGCTCCCAGCTAGGGCAATGCGAAACTGACACCATTCACTTCTCTGTCTAGGAGCAGCATAATATGGTTTATTTAGCTATTTCCACATCTGCCACAAACAAAAGAATGACAATGATGATACCAGAGAAAAAGCAAATCATAGCCTTTGTTATCAACAGGCTCATTTGGTTAAATAACTATAGCTAAATAAATGATTAATGTGATGTATATTTTATATTTGGTGAGAGGAGAATGGTTCAATTTACTTGAAGCAAAGAATGCCTTATTCCAGTCCTAATGAAGTGCTACTTTTTGCTTTACAAATCATTATTTAACCTGCTAATTGGTTTGAGAAAAAGGCAGTTAAAAGTAATAAAAATGGAAAGACTTTAAAAGACAAGAATAAGAAGTGATGAGAAAAGGAATAATTTAATTATCCAGTGGTAAGAGTTCAAGAACGTCTATCACCTGAGAATATGAAGGTTTTAGTTAACTATATTAAGTATGTGTAATCACTGCAGCAGGATTAGTTCATGATGAACCAAATTCTCAGTTAACTAGCGGCTAAGTTGTCAAAGTAAGGCATGTAGTATTCAAACAGCCTGATATGGATTGAGTCAAATATAATCACTATCTAGTGTGTACTCACTTAAAGTCAAGTTTTATTACAGTGAAGGTGTTTTGTTTTGTTTTCTGGATTAAACAATTAAATGGGGAAAGGAAGAAACAGAGGCTACTTGTTTTCCAAGACTTAAAGAAACCAATAGATCTGTTAGTTTTTCTGCTAACGGGTTGTTCCAGAAGCAGAGGGATAAGTGCATGGGGACCTTTTCAATCAAGATGTGGCACATTCTTGTAATTTTCAAAATTTGAAACTTTGAAACTTCTGGGCTACATAGAGTAACTTAATAGGCTACTTAAGTAAATAT